CCCCCTCAACAGATCAAATATGAGTGGTATATAATATACAATAATAAACAATAAATAATAGTAAATAGTAATAAACAGTAAGTAAATAGTAAATAATAAAATAAACCCCCAACAATAAATATATACATATATATACAATATATATATATTTATTCATATGTTAAGTATGCTAAGCACATCATCCATGTTCAAACTTGGAAAAAATTATGTGAGTGTGTGCAAGTTTAAGTGTGTATGTATGATTTGATTGATTGGTTTTATGTGACAGTTAGTTTAAAAAAGACCCTGCTTGCTTGAATAAATATTATTAACTGTTTATTTATTATTTAAAAATTTATAAAACTGATATTCACTACATTATTTTTTTTGATTTGTACATACATACATAACAATTTACCACTTACACATCATACATTTTGTATCACATAATAGCCTTTAATTTATATTTTTAATTTATGAATCAAAAGAAAAATTAAATAAAAAACTGATAACTGGGACTAAACTGACTGATTAAATCAAATTCTACGAATGATTATATTTTGTTGATCATTTCTAAATTAATTGAAATGGATATAATGAATATGAAAATTACTATGTTTAGTAACTATGTTATCTGAGATATGTATATATTTATCTGATATAATATATATATATTAACAACATTGTCAAAACTTTAATGGCTATCATCGTTGTAATTAGTAACCGGTAATCAGTATTAGGTAAAAATATATATCAGTTTTTTTGTGAAAAAAATTTTTTTTTAAATTTATGAATTAAACAGTTAATGATGTAAGTTACACATACATCCATATTCTATCTTTCAAATAAATTAAATAAATTGATTTTAATTTGTTTCTGGATCACACAAAAAACCTTAAAAAATACAATAATAATAAATATGTAAATGTAATAAAATAAAAATAGCATTTGTGTCACACAATATTTATTTTTAATTAGCATACATACACAAAAATAAAGATTTCAAGAAAACAAATTTATCATCACAATAGCAGTAGTAATAGTAATATTTAAAAAATGATTACTTTATTTGGCATACAATAAAAAAAAACAAATTAATATTAATTAATTAATCATTCAATTAGAAAGCTGTCAAGTTTATTTTTATTTGGATTTTACCAAATTACTCAAATTACTAAAAAGAAAAAACTATTAAAAGCGAAAATTTCCGTTATTAGTTATTGTTTTTGGATTATTATTATCTGATTACAATTGGAAGTTTGTGCGTGTGAGAAGAATGAATGAATGATCGGATTAGTCGATCGGATTAGTCGATTCAAAAAATATTTCTATTAGTCGATTTATTATTATTATTATTATTATTATTATTGTTGTTGTTGTTGTTGTTGTTGTTGTTATTTATTATTATTATTATTATTATTATTATTATTATTATTATTATTATTATTATTATTATTATTATTATTTATTTATTTATTTATTTATTTATTTATTTTCAAATCATAGAAATTTTTTCTTACGAAAAGTTTTTTAATAAAACATCCGCTGTTCTCCGTTGTCGATTTTGGGAAAAAAAACATTTAGATTTTTTTTAAAATACAAATATAAATATATAAATACATATATAATATATATAAACAATATAAATAATACGAATAAACAATATGAATAAACTTGAATTTGATCAAGTTTGTTGTTGTCGTTGAATCTCTCTCTCTTCTCTCTCTTTCACTCACACAAAAGCATATGACATGAATAAATTTAGATAAAATCATATTATAATTGGTAATATTCAAGAAAATTGTTATTTAATTGGATAATTAATTTAATTAATTAATTAAAAAAACTTAAATAAACAAATTTTATTTATTATTTGATTGTGTGTGTTTTATTATTTATTATTTATTTGAACTTAAACTTAATTCGTACAAGATTTACAAATGATCTTTTTTCTGTGCTCTATTTTAGGTAATATATAAAAAAATATCGTACGTGTAACTTCGAAAACGCGAGTCGCGAGCCTTTCTTCTCCTTCTCTTATTATAATTACAACCATTCAATTTCTTTGTCATCATCGCTAAAATTACGGAATTCTAGCGAATAAATATTATTATTATAAAATATAAAATATAAAAAATTTAATGTAATAATAATAATAATAATAATAATAATAATAAATAAATAAATCCTCATTAAAACACATCACTGTAGACACATTACAATGTGGCCACGTCTTTCATAGAATTTGCATTGAGAAATATCTTTTATATGTCCTTTTCCTAAGTGCAATCAAAGTGCCAAAACTATTATAGATACTTCTAGATGAGATTCTCAATCAAGTGCTTCATCAATAGTTAGGGGGATGAGTAATCAACTTCAGATCAACATAGAAGTAATCCAAGAAGATGAGGAAATGGATGATGTGGATGAATTGGAGAGTGAAGATAATCAGGACTCTTTGGAAAAAACCTCACAAAAGAGCTCGTAAAGATACCTCTATCCTAAAGTTATTTCAGATAAAAAAAGTAATAAACAAAAGGAATCGCATTTTTTGAAAAACTTATCAAAGAGTTAAAGGATAATAACACCCACCAAAATTTGTTATTTACCTCACAGTCACCCAAAGCCAATAGTTATATTCATCTTTATCAAGAAATTGTTAAAGCCGAAGCTGAAAATGATACTACAAGTCAAAATGTTTTGCAATGCTATTATCAATTCAGGGAAAAAAATATCAAAACACTTTGAATATTATAAGAATGTAAAAAAATATTGAGATCGTAGGGCTCGGGATAAAGTAGATAAAGAAGTTAAAGAGCAACCTTGAGGCCAGCAAGTTTCATTATTAGGAAATATGAATTGTTAAAAAATTAATAAAAGGTTTCTCTACTATTATTTTCGATTCTCGCTCAATTAAATGTAATTATCAAGATCCATACTGATATCTACTTCTTTGATACTCTCCCTGTTCATATGACCATCTTCTTTGGATATTATCGCATCCCCATAAACAAAAGAAGTCCCATTATTTTTATTGCAGAGTAATGCCACTTATGTGCCTGTTGTATGCGCTTCAAGTCTTTCATTTAATCCATGGCCCTGATCTTCTGCAATCCACTTTTTCAAGTATACTTGCCCTCAATGAATTCCTTAACCGTTACTTCGTCATGAAAATCGGGAGGAAGTCCATGTATATATTTGACTTTATTTTTCTTAGATGCGGGAATATAATAGTTGCGTGTATTTTCCATATTTTCTGATTGTATAAGAAATTCAAATTTGATACTAATACGCTATCTGCATAAATCGATCAGATAATTAATAAGCTGTGCAACATTTTAATTAGGCTGTATGACAAAATTGTTTTTACAGTGATTTGTTTTATTGCTAATATATATATAATAATTAATTTCTTAAATAAAAAAATTCATATAATGCTGTCACCAGCATACTTTCACAAATACAACTTGGAGTTTACTTGGTTATTTAAAATACAGAGAATGCGAAGATGATTTTACAAGTGATAAATCAACAGAACACATGTCTTATGTTAAAAACCTTGAATACCTTAAGGAAAATTCGAAAGAATGTCAACAAGTCAAACAGTGTTTTTGTAATTTGTAGGCAAACATATCAAGTAAATTATCACAAGTTAGCACAGAGCTGGCATGTTGACACTTAAATAGCCAGCTGAGTACATCTTGGTTGGTGACAGTGGGGTACATCCTTCTTTAAGCATCAAGGTACGCCCTGGTTTCTATTGATGCGATTGAATGGGTATGTCCTGTTTGGTTGTAAAGGGTACGTCCCATATCATGGTTACCACATGTTGATTCTTGGAGCAATTGAATGGGTATGTCCTGTTTGGTTGTAAAGGGTACGTCCCATACCAAGTTTCTTCCAGCTTTTGGTGAGGCCCTGATGACATGCATCAAGTTAAACAAAACTATTATAATTTTGTATTGAAGTATGAAAAAATGAGTGAAGATGTAAACTCTTTCTGGCAGTCTATTAATATGAAGAAACAGCTTGATATAAAAAAGGTGAGTGTAGTGTTTTCTATAAATTCTTTATGTTTCAGATTGACTGATTTAGAATATGAAATAGTTGCAGTGTGCAGGAAATGCACTGGATGCGATCACCAACGAAACACATTTAAGATCAGTTGTAATGAGTGAAATAATATCTATTATGAAACATCCACTAGAGCATAGTGACGATGTCTACCACAATGAAATTGGCAGTAATGTCATTATTCCAAGGGTTTGTATTAATTTTTCTTATTATTTAGTGTTTTATAGCCAAATTTATATACATCATTTATCCACAATACAAATGAAGAATCAAGTTATTTCTACCAACAAAAGAAAAAGAGAAGACCAATCTGATTATGAGGAATCTGCATTATTGTTTGATAAATCTAATGAAGATACAATCATGGAAAATATTGATGAAAAAACACTTGAACAGGAAATCAAATTGCCACTAGCAAGTGTTAATAGCTCTTCGAAGGTAAACCTTAATGTTAATAGTTAGGAAGATATATTCAGTAGGCTCATTGTATTGTCATCAATAGGCACCAAAAAATATTACGGGTGTGGATATCATCAAAGCCTTCCACAAATATTGAAACACAATTCCAAAAACCATAGAGCAGTGTTGTGCCATTTATGGTTCCAATAAAATTTCATTGGAACATTCTAATAAATTCCAATTGGAATTGGAACATTCCAAATGAAGTTAACCAATGAAATTCAATCATAGTGTCATACACACAAATTTTATTGGTTAATATCAATTGAAGATTGACATTGGAACATTCCAATAGTGTTACAATGTTCCAATTGCACAACACTGCTGTAGAGTTTTCATGTAAGCTTGATATTGTTTTATCATTGTTTTTGGTAATGATCCAATTATTGATACACTTTCCACCCAATAGCTCTGCATACTGGGGAGTTCTAGACTTAACTGGTGAAGGTTTATATGACTGCAAACAGCTCACAAAAAAGGACAATGCAACAATCACAAGGCTTTGCTGATAATATTTTTTGGAAAACAATGCCTCCAGAAAAGAATATACAACAATATTTTGACACTAATTGTGAGAAAAAGGCAGATGATATTAGAAAATTAAATGTAAATGTTCAGTTTATGTATGTATAAGTTTTCTTTGATTATATTTTGTCATCCAGTTATAGTGTTCTGATTCTGGATTGCTGTGCAGGAAAAGTGATATGGTTAACTTTCAGGGAATGATGACGGAAGAAGAGCTAAAAATGAGCTTGACATTTCCACTATTTTGTGGGGTGTTCACTTCTGATATAATAACTATTCTGTGTATATATGTAAGGGGGGAAGTTCAAGCTTTGTCTACCAACTATGCATGTAACAAAACAGGAAATTTGTTTAAAAGGGCACAAATAGGCAGATGAGTAGATATGAAAAGTACTTTGGTTAAAATGTCTAATAAATTTGAGGTTATTTACAGAGAGGTGGCAGGGGGGTTGGGACCATTTGGAATTCCCACTGCTTGTTGTAAGAAGTGCTACATTGATAAGTTAAAGCTGATGATAATTATGCATGATTATATATACATGAAGTTGAAACTATTTTGACCATTTGCAGATCTGGTTGAAATAGGGTCAAAATAAGGTCGAAACTGATTTTTACTATGTAGTTGCCTCAAGTCAAAACATTTCGACTTCATGTATACAGTCAAACCTTGTCATAACGGATTTCGATCTAGTACAAATTTAGAAGGTATCTGCAGAAATATCCAATCAAATACAATATTTCTGCAGATACCTTCTAAATTTGTACTAGATCGAAATCCGTTATGACAAGGTTTGACTGTATTTGGTTCATTTTATAGTTTTGAACGTGATAAATATTTCTCAACAAATCACATAATAAACCTATTTTATCACCAAAAAGTCTTTGTAAACACTATAAAAAATCATTTTTAAGATCTCCTTATTGTTTCATCATCTCCATTTTGCATTTAACTGTCTTCCAATTAAAGAGTTTGAAAAAACGACTTTTTAGAACAAAGAATTAAAAAAAAAAAAAAAAAGAAGTCTGCCGATCACCATCAAAAATTTATAATGTTATGCATTATTGTGGAAAAATAAATTGTAAATATTTTCTAAATCTGAATTTTTCGCAAAATGAAAATTCTATAATTAATAAATATTTATATTTTGTAAATTGTTATAAATTAAATCAAATATATATGATTCCTTTTTTTTTTTTTTTTTTATAAACTTTGTATTATAATCAAAAATGATAAAATTAAATTATAATTCAATATCAAAAAAAATTATAATTTTAATAATCTCGTATTTTTTAATTTTGATTACTACATGTTTATCCTATGAAAAGAATATTATTAATAAACGGGAACCAAAGGACAACGACATAATACAAAAAATAAGTAAATACTCTTTAATAATAATATTATTTTTGTAAACATTTGAAATTATATTGGTCAATAAGTTTATCTTATATTTGTTTTTTAGTATCGTTTGTTAAAGATAATTTAACAATAATAATAGTGGGCGCAGCAGTAATCTTTGTATTAGTGATAATTTATATTTATGCTAGGATTAAATATAAAAAAGTACGTGTGTATAAATGATTAGATAATTTATTAATATTAATGATTGATTTATTGATCTAATTAATTATAGGGTAGAAATACGATTGTCTTTACATTAGCATTGATTATAACAAATTTGGGATTAGATATTGCATTTATTTTAAAAAATATACTTACAGATGATGGCAGATTTTTACTAATACCAAGGTAAATAAATATATTCGCATACATATACTTACATTAATATGCATTAACATATAAATATGCATATAAACATTAGTCTGGTGGCATTGTGTTTACCATTCGGTTTTAATTTAGCACTAGCATTTTACATAATCTATCAACAAAGTGTCAGCAGTAACAATAAAGAATTTGAAAGATGGTTACGCAAATATAAGCGTTTTGCCGGGGCCATGACAGTTTTATCAATGGTGCACATTGAGGTGTTGAGATTATTAAATTCCAAATTCTTGGGATTGGAAATTTTCAAGGCTAGATTTGATCATGGCGCGGTAAAAAAGATCTTTATTGGTGGTCTGTTCAATTTGATTATTGAAGATATTCCTCAGCTTGTAATTGCGGTAAGTAGTAAGTAAAAAAAAATATATATATATAAAACATATTAAAAATTTTTTTCTCCATTAAATATTTAGGCATTATATCAACAAAAAACGCAATCAAGAGAAGTAATACCAATCTTGACAATAATATCAGGTGTAATAATGTTATTAAATGATCTGATTAGTAGGATATATGAACTTATAACAGTACCAAAACCTCGTAAATCAGATGTAAATCCAAGTAGCGAAGAAGAAGATAAAGAATTTGTACTAAATCATTTCCCTAATCCTAATCCTAATAATAATATTGATGATACTAATAACATAAATAGTATTAGTAAATTAGATAATACAAGTGTTTCAAACCTTAGTCTAAACAATCTTAGTCTAAACAATCCAGGTAATATAATTAATTCAAACCCTGGTCTAAACGAAACAAGTCTTTACCCAAAACATAGTAATAAGTCTGGCAATCTAGATAATACAAGTAATCCAAGTTTAGGCAATCCAAATTTTTATTCAAACCATATTAATAATAGTTCACATCATGATCTAAATGGTAATTACCGATCACTAGATCAAAATTATCCATTACAACCAATAACAAATTATCCATTACAACCAATAACAAATTATCCATTACAACCAACAACAAACTATCCATTACAACCAACAACAAACTATCCATTACAACCAATAACAAACTATCCATTATCATTAACAACACAACCGATTGTACCAAACAATCAACAGATTGAAATTTCACCTGAGGGACAACCTTATACTACTGGTTATGTATATGTTCCAAATTAAAATCATGTAAATCCACACACTACTACCAATGCTACAACAACATCAATATCAACACCAACGGTCACACCTTTTATTATACATAATTTTTAATTGATAATATTAATTATTTAATTTATAATTTATGTAATCTATTTATTTAATTTAATTTACTTTGTAGATTATTAATTAGATTATCGTTATTGTTTATAATTTATAATTTATTTTATTTGTGAGTTTAAGAAATAAAATCTTCTTCAAAGAATTTGAGAACATTTTCAGACATATCTTTATCCAATGAAGCATCTAATAATTGTGACATGGTAGAATTTGAAATATTATAAATCGTTTGAAAACATTCTTGTAAAATGTAACAATCTAATAAATTAAAGAAACGGTATATTAGTTTTTGTTACATAGAAAGAATAATAATTATCAAAGAGATATTTATTGATTGAACTTTTTTCTTTTTACCATGTAATTCCAATTTATTCGTTCCTGCTGACATTTGAGAGACTAAATGAACCCAATTCTTTTTTAAATTTTTGGTTGATTCTTTTAATAAATTCTGTTCATTCTAGAATGGTGTAATAATAATAAATGTATTTAATTAACTAACTCTCTATATATATAAAAGTAAATAAGTCACCAATAGATCAATTACATTATTTTGTTGTTGTTGTTGTTGTCCAGTATAAATTATACTTAAAATATTTAATAATTCATTTGAATTATGAACTGGCATAATCATAATACTATTTATGAAATTTGACAATAACCTTTTTAATAAATTTAATGATAACAAGCTTATTATTAATATGGTCATGATATATATAATTGATATGATATATATAGGTTTAAGTTTTACCTAATTTGTATATCATATAAAATTTCTAGGTTATTATTCTCAATGTATAATAACAAGAACACTTTAAAATATCTTTTTGATGATTTATTAATCCTAATAATAAATAAATTTTAATAAAATTCAAAAAATTAACAATAAAACTTAAATAATTAAAGAAACCTGTCAATTAAATTTTTTATAAATTGAATTTTTTCTTGTTCATTCTTTAATTGATTCCATTTCTCATGTTGAAAACATAAAAATGTAATATTTGCTCTTGGAAATGTTAAATCCTATAATCAATTTAAAATAATTGATGAATCAATTGATTAAAATAAATAACAATATAAAAAATTTATTCCTACACCAGGAGTATATTGCGTTGGTTCAATGTCTATAAAATAGTTAATTATAATAATTATTTATGAAATAATATGTATTGATAGTAAATACAAATCTATATATGTATTAATAAAAAAAATATAACTCACATTTAACACGCCATTTAACTTTAATTTCTTGGCATATTTTACTCCAACCATTTGCAATATTATCAAGGTCTTTGTTTAACAATAAAACAGGTGGTAGAAGTTGTGAATGCTGAAAGTTTTGTTGCAAGTTTTGTTGCTGTGATTGGTTATTATTATTATTCATATTATTCATATTGTTAATATTGTTTATATTAATGTTATGTTGCATTATTATTTTAATTTTTAAATTTATTGTTTTGAATTGAAATAAAAGAAGAATTTACAAGCTATTTATATTATGTTTTATCATTAATATATTAATAAAAAAAGTCTAATTATACTATCTATAAAATTATAATTAGTAATTAGCTTGAATTTTCAACTTTTCAACCTTTTGACTTTTTGGTGGTTTTCTTTAATCATTGTCATTCTTATTCTTTTTATCATCTGTTGATTGTTGTTCAGCATTAATATTCGAAAGCTTACTAAACAAAGCATCATGAAATTTCTCTCCAAATTTTGGACTAACTGTTAATAATAAAGCTTCCATTGATTCAAATGGTTTGTTTACCCATTTTTTCATCGTTTCAGAATCTTTCTCATTAACATCATCTTCTGATTCAAATGATTCAATCTATATTTGTGTATGTGGGCATTGATAGTATTATTATTATCAAGCAATTAATTAATGTTATTTATCATATTAAAAACTTACAAGGTATCCTTCTTCAAATATTTTAATTATTAACTTAATATTTTCGAGTGATATCAACTCAAATTTTGAATATAATGGTCCTTGAGGTTCATTATTTGTTGTTGACGTTGACGTTAAAACTTTTATTGAGCCAGGTCGAATTCCATAATCATATTCTTTAAGTACATTGGAAATTTCTTGTCCAACAAATTTATTATTAGTTGTTGATTCATTTTTTTCTTGGTTCATCGTGTATGGTATGTATGCGTGAATTTCAGTCAAATCTCTTTCATAACCCCCTTGTTTATAACCCAATTTTTTAACCTTTACGATTACAAATAATAATAAATTTTATTTTTTCTGTTGCTATGAAATTTGCAATAATAACAATAATAGAAATGAAATGTAATCAATTATCATATATTGAAAACCTAATTTTTATTTAATAAAGTTGTGGTGGAATTGAGTTACGGCGGTCATATCTGGCAGGTCACACAGTTTACCCCATTCCAAGAATGACATGATCAACATAAAAGTACATGTATGTATGTATATGATCGATCACAATTAGTTGAGATCTACACAGCTGTCAATGAAATGTGCCAAAATTAGGGAAGAACTAGATTATTGTTAAACTCAAACATTGAAAGGTATTATAATAAAAAAATAATTGAAAATAAGATACAAAGTTACATATAATAAAACGAATTTATAATAATAATTAATAATTAATAAGTATATTGTTTTAAAAATCCTAAATCTTTGATATCTTTCTAATGCGTCTCCTACTTGAATATTTGCCAGATAAAATTCATCCCTTCCATTTATTATTTTAAAAGATTCGGGACCTTTCCAATTCATCATCAGTTCATATAATAAACCTCGATCATAAATAATGGTCTCGTTATCAAAAATTATAGTATTTAAGTTTTTTGGTAATGCTCGATTTAAAAGTGATATTATATTATCGGCATCCACCACTTCGTCACAGTTGATCGAATCAAACTTTATGGATTTTAATTTATTACAATTATTAAATATATCAACCAACTGTTGATTAGATTCATTGTTGCTGTAAATTATTAACAAATGTTCTAAATTTTGACAATGTTGCCCAATTGATTTAAGAAGCTCGCCCAAAAATTCATCATCTATTTGACCACTACCAATAATTTTCAAAATTTTAAGACTACTTCCGTTGATTTTAATAAATTCTGACAGATCTGATAGAAATGTTTGAAAAGCAATGTCCACACAAAAAGCCTCAATATTGGGAAGTGAAACAGATCTTAAATATTTTATATCGCTGCCACCATATGCTTTAAATATGTTTAAATACTTTAAATTTTCCAACGTTGGTATTATCAGAGAATCCAGGTTATTTTTTCCACCGTAACTTGAATAATCGATTATTGATTTTGAATGAAACAAGTTTGCCTTTTTAAATTCATCTGACAAATCCAATTCAAATTCTGAATCAATATTCAACTTTTTAATTTGTTTTTGTGCTTTAATTAGCCGAGCTATACCATTATAATTAGTAATAAAATCTTTATTACAATCTATTTTTAAAACTTGAATATTCCTACAAATAATTGCTAATTTATCAAATAATTCAGAGCTGACATGGATACGACATTCTAATTCATAAAGATTATGAAAACAAGCATCAAATCTACGATGATATAACAACCTATAACTTTCCGAATAAACGATTTTAAGCCTCCTGATAGTTGTCGAATGATCTAAAATAAATTCTTTTAATCTTTCTTCTAAACAATAGTCTTTTAATCTTTCCTCTAAACGATAGTTTGAATCGACTGATATTTTTTGTAAATTTTGTTTGATTCCATCAAAATCTAATTCAGTTGCAAATCTGGCATAATTGAATAGTGGTGGTTTCTCCAGCAATTTAAACCGAACATTGTCTTTTACTAATAAATTTTCGCCTTCTACCAATAAACCCTTAACTTTTGCCAATAAATCCTTGTCCTCTTCTAATAAACAATTAATTAATATGATGGTGCTGTTTATAGAATGGAATGGGCTTCTCCATAAAGTTGGGATATTGATGTGACACCAATGCTTATTAACAAGGATGCAAGTACATAGTGTTTTATAATTTTTTTCTTTTTCAATGTGTTTAAATATTTTAATTAAAAGTTCCGGTGGTAAAGATATTGACGACATTTTTTTTTCTTGGACATAATAATAATGAAAAATGTCAACTTCGAAAGAGTATAGCATATATAGTGCTTTTGAACAATGCATGATTGATTGTAGGAAAAATAAAAAAGGAATATAATTGTTTCAAAAAAATAGTTTGTAGATTACGTGATCGATAAAAGATGCTAATTAAACATGTTTAGGAAAAGTGTAACTCGGCATTCATGATTATTTGGTATTACTTAATAAAAAAAAAAATAAAAATAAAAAAATGAAAAATTTTTATTTCCAAATCATTTATTCCCTTATAACAAAAAAGTCCCAACGTTTTTATAGTTTGAAAAAATTCTCGTGTACGATATTGCTAATACAATTAGCATTTACATAGATTTCCTCAACTGTTATGATTTCAAAGAACTCTTACTAAAGCCAATTCTTATGGAAATGTTTTCCGTGAGTTACCAAGCACACAATTCTTCTTTATCATTATAGTACTATAACACTTGGTTGTTTCTTTTTAATAACATTCAAAGATTCAATTTTTTTAAAAAAAACTAAGAAAAAATCGGGATTTTTACTTTGATCAAGACTGGTTATTTTTGTTTCTTTAAAATTATTTTGTCAATGGACATTTATTACAAAGACTTTATACATTCTTGAAGAAATCTTAAGATTTATTTTTAAAAACTCTGCTAATTAATAATTGGTATAAATGTTATATATATACTCGAATCACCCAACTTGATTCATTATGTTTTTACAAATAGTGAGATTAACGAACAATATGTATATTTATTGCATAAAATTAATATCAAATGTAACGGCCTGTCTTCTTTCATCATCCAAATAGAGTGAAGCTTGTTGCTATTTGATCCTTGACTAAGAACAGCCAACGACTATATTTATTTTAATAGACTCAAATTATAAAAGATTAACGTGTATTTAATTCATTATATTTATTTATTAAATTGATTTTCATGAGATCAAGACTGACTGTGTAATCTATACTGGGATTAATGCCCCTAATGTGGAGAAGATATACGTGATGAAGATGCAATCATTGTAATATTAATTACATTCGGTAGTAGTAACATTGATTATTTTGTTTCTTTTTCTTTATATATACCGTATATAGTGTGTTGCGAAAAAAATGGTGGTTGCAATTTTCTAAAAAAAAGCAACCAAAATTATGTAGAAAGTTTGAAATTTCTTTTAGAAATTCTAAAAGCTTATAATGTCAAAATAGCGAAGCTTTCGTATATAAACTTTACCTAAATTGGCAAAAATTCACAATACCCTAAATAAATTTTTGGTATTAATTTAATAATAACATGATTGGCTAATTTTGATACTCTGAACGAGTATTAGAGTTTCTCGTAATGCAAATTCTTATTCGAATTATTCATTTTTATTCGTTTCTTCGAATTTTTCGTTTGATTCATTTTTATTCATTTTTATTCGTTTATTCAAATTATTCGTTTTAGTTTTAATGTAATTCGAATACTCAAATTCATAATAATAACAAATAAAACAAATAATTATAATTGGAATAAATCTTGATCGAATATACTAATACTAATACTGATAGATTATTGAGTCATGTGATTTTATAATGACCAAAAAATATCATTGCTATTCATGCAATGGACAATGTCCAATGACTTTTTCATTGGACCATTGGGCCATTGGACATATATGTCCAAGTTGCCCACTCAATGGTGATTTTTGCACAGCTTTGTTGGGTAATGGACAATGTTCAATGATTCATTGGACCTGGGCGGAAATTGGACATTTTTGTGATATGGGGCATGCTGCAACAAAACCAGACAAAGTGAACATTGGTATTACCAAGGATTTCAGGGATCAAAATTTAGTTATCTTTAATGCAATTATAATTAACAGTTTTATAATATCCCATTTGTGATATATAGAACTACCCCTATATAAAAATAGTTAATATGAAATTAATTTATATCAGGTCTACTATGGAACCCAAGAATTACAGCACCATTAGAAGTATTTTGAAGAAAGAACAAGGTGAAAAAATTGCACCTTACATTTTCAAAATAAATGATACTCAGACACTGGAAGCTTATCTAAGAAAAGAAAGGATTACTTATGAAATTTATCAAGAAGAAAGGAAAATAATAAACATTAAGAAATGAAAGCAGAATGAATAAATGTCACATTTTAATTGATCATTATCTTCATTATCTTGGATATAAAAAAAAACTTTTTTTGGTTTTTTTTTTTCTAAAATATGGATTTATCTAATATATAAGGTCTAAGATGAACCATGCATGATTTTTTCTTTTTTCTTTTTTTAATAATATTATATTATTAACAAATAATAATATTTTTTTTATAATAATGACCTCAGTCTTGATTATATTTTTGTTTCAAAACAATCACCCTACAAAAAGTTTAGATACTGAAAATGACCTTAAAACATGAATCAGTGAAATGATCTTATGCAAAAATCTCCACCACATCCCCGTCACATGATAAATTTTTTAATAAAATTAAAAATTGAAAAATTTTTTTTAATTTTTTTTTGCAATGTGTTTTTGAAAAAGAATTACTCATGATATCTGTTATTTTTTTTAAAAAAGTTTTGGAGATTCGAAATTTTAAAAGAGTTTCGGGATTTAAAAACAAATTCAGAGTTTCAAAATAGTTGTTTAAAGTTTAAAAACAGTGTCGGAGTTTTAAATTTTCGAAAATAATTCAGAGTTTTGAAATAGTTTGAAGTTTTAAAACAATGCTTCTGTTCGTATCATTATAATTCTAACTAGTTTGTTTCATTCATTAATTTATTATTATAATGATCTAATAAACAATCAATTCATAAATATTGAGAAAAAAACTTTTTTATTTATTTGTTTATCAATCATGAATAGTAATAGTAATAGAGTTGGAATAAATTTATTCGAATAATTAAAAAAGTTGCACGAACGCAAAAAAATTTTTACATCACTCATCTTTACATCCCTAAGAGTAAACACCTTTTTTTTCGATATTCTTGAAAAAAAATACATGAATATGTTCTTTGACATTAGTTTCATAACGCAAAATAAAAAAAAATCATTTTAAAGTACAAAAGTATAGTACCATTTTTTTATACAAAGTCGTCAATTAGCAAAATTTGTGACATTTTTCCTCCGCAGATCCTTATATAGTAATAGAGTTCACCGATTCATAGACGGATCGTCAATTAAAATTTACTTAAAATGTTCTTGTTTTCTTCCATCAGTATATTTTCAGTATCTAAACTTTTTGTAGGGTCAAAGGTAGTCGGACTACATTGAGGATGGTGAGTTCAAGCAAATTATATTCAAATGATTCGTGAGCCGGATTTGTTGGTATTAACTTTTGATGCCAAAACAAGATTCCAAACCACAGGAAAGTTTGTGGTGGAAGATGGCAAGGAACATGTATGTATGTTGATGAGTGTCATAACTTCCTTCAATGAACCCTATTAAGATGTTAACTAGAAATTTTGGTCATGACAAATAGCCCAGTCTCGTCCAAACCATAACAATAGAAGAAGACATCACCATCTATCAGCTCTCACCACCACCTCTCCTCCTAATAAGCAGCCCTTATGAAAACAATTCTTTGAATATCTTCAAGGACTTCTCCTATGGAAGCTTCTTGTCAACCAGGACTTCCCAGTCATCAGCAACAAGATCTTTAAATTCAAGTTGTTGGTGTCCTATTCAAGCTCATCTTCAAGGTAAAATTCTCCCTTTTTTAAAAAAACTCTGAATCAAAACATAATTTGTAGATTTGGCATTAATAAAAATAATTAAATAATAATAAATTTTTTGCTCAATGAATAAATGTGATAATAATATGAATGACATTGTGTGAATGACTAATTTTGATAAGAGATTTATTGAATCATGTGTTTTTAAATATAAATTTTTTTTGTTATAAGAAGATCTTATCTATATAGTTATTTTTATATTTTATTTTAAATGCATCCCCTATTTTTAAAGTTCTAAAAATATTGTCTGAGATAATATTTACAAGAACTATCATCCTTAAATTCTATGAGAGATGAATTATTCTTTGATAAATATAATTTGATGTTTTCAAATGATGAGAGATCTCTTGTAAATTTTATCAAATAATTAAAATAACTATGAGAAAATTGAACAGAAATTGGATTTGTAACATTAAATTTAATATGCTATATAAATGAATAAGACATTTATACATGTTAATAAATATTATAAAAGAATATTTTAAAAAATAAAATTATTTTAAAAATAATTACTTTATGCATGACACAAACTGGATTCAATTTAATGCTACCATTAACCAACTCACTTTCTGCAATAAATTTAAGTTCATTGTTATTATTGATTTCGATTCTAACTTTTATTAAAAAAATTATCTTTATTAATATTAGTAATATATTATCAGCTACAAAACAAAATTACCTTTTCCACCAATAGCTCGTATGTCACGACAACTTTTCTGGAATATGAATAAAGGTAATGTCACAACAGCATCATAACCTTTTGTTATATAATGATATTGATATTGCTCTTTGTATGTTTTGAAAACTTTCGTTACAAGGAATTCACTTTTATAAAATAATTTTTTCCATACTATATCATTATTAATTAAAATTGCCCATGCTTTTGATAATATGCTCAAGTTGATAATTTCACAAAGATCAAGGTACTTAATTATTAAGAAAATCACCTCATTGGGCAATTTTATTAAATTGTCATCATTACTATCTTTTTTTTTTTTTTTTTTTCCGATGTCATCGTAATGTTATTTTTTATTGGTTATTTCAAATAAATTTACATAGTAAAATAAATAAACAATTTAAAAAAAAAACAAATACCCCCCGTATCTAATTGAATTAGACCGTTTGAGCCGACAGATCACCGCATTTTCTTTCCATGTGGCTGTTAATTCCTAAGAACAACATTTAATAATTGTAACCACACTTCAACAAGAAAGTTTAGTGACTTGTCACGAAGACATCCATGGGACTCCAAATCTAATATTATTTGATATCCAATTTGATAATATTATTTTATTATCATTTATATTTTTATTTTTATTAACATTTCTGCTAATAATATTATTATTGTGACTATTATTGTTATTATTGTTTTTATTATTATTGTTGTTGTTTTTATTTCTTTTCATATGTTTGTTTATACCAAAATGTATTTCTGTATTTATAACCTCCTGACAACGTATTTTCCATATTTTTTCTTTGATTAGAACATTCATGTTTTCCATAACACTACATAATATTTTTTTAATTTTTTCTTCTTTTCTTATATAACATTTCATATGATCATAGAGGTCTTTTGGTATAATTCCTTTTATTATATCAATGAATGTGATTTGGTTTTTGTCTTGGTATATTCTCCAATATGTTTTCTCATCAAACATATTTCCAGGAGCCAAATGATTTATTTCTTTTATTTGTTTTAGTAGGACTTTTTTTGTCTCTTGAATTATATTGTTAATTGTTTTTCTTCGTTTTTCACATAACCAAATGTGTAAAAAATCTTCATTTTCTTTGTTGCAAAAGTAACATTTCCAGTTATTATCATATAGATCTGGACTTTGTAATTTAAGGCTTTCAATAGTTGGTAATTCTTCTATTAACTTTTTAACTTTGAAAGATTTTTTATTACTAGCATTAAATGATGTTTTAGTGTTTTCTTCACCATTAGAATTTAGTATTATCCAAGTCATTGGCCAGTTAATTAAAGTTTGTTCCGATTTGTCATATTTAATATTTCTATTTTTTTGTTTCCAAATTAAAAAGCTTTTTGCTTCTGTGCAATTTTTTAAAAAGAGCCTTAATGATATTTCAATTCTTATGTTATTGAAAGATGGTTGACACTTAAAATTTGGTAATTGATCATATTTGATTTCCAACAGATCAGAGTCCAAACCTAATTTTGCTAGAAAGTCTGATTTTTCATTAAAAAAAATACCATTGTGTGCTTTCACTTTTTTTATTTGTATTTTTTGTTTTAGTTCAGCTACTGTATCTTGTATTATGCCCCATAATAAATAATTATTTTCTTTCACCAATCTTCTTGTACTTATATATTCATTTTTTATTATTAATCTATCAAAAAATTTTATAGTAGTTTCACTGTCACTGAAAATAGTAATATTACTCTCAGGTGGAGATACAAGTAATGCAGATAGTATAGCTAAAACCTCTGTTTTTGTTGAAGAAGGCCAACGAATTTCGAATTTATTTTCACACAGAAAAGCAGCCTCAGGGAAATGTCACATGACTAGAAATACAAAATAACAAAAATAACAAAAATAAAATGTTTAGAAAAAAGGGGTTATTCATGATATTCCAAGAAATTTAAAAGAATTAGGTTATCAGATAAATGAGAAGGGACAATTTCTTACATTAAAAGGTAAACAAATGCATGTTATTATATTGATATATGTCATAATATACATATATACTAATTATTTTTGTTTTGTAGGAGAAATTTATAACTTTGAAGTAAAAGAAAGAGCATATAATGAAGCTTTATATGATGTTATAATTGGTAATTTACTGTTATTTAGAGTAATAGATAGATTTGTTTACAAGCAATTTAAAACTAATTCTATAGATGTATTACACATATATTTATTTAGAACTTTTTGATGGAATGGGTTGAAGAAAGATTACAGAATGATTTTGGATTACAAGAAATCTTGTTGCCTATTAATGTAACAAAAGATGACATTCATAGCAAAATATATGTTAGGTACCAAAGAAAAAAGAATCGACCTTGGTTTTTAATGTGGGTGAATTAAATAAGTTCTAATATTTGTATTAATATAACTTTAATTTCAATAGTCCAGATTACCTTGAAAATGATAAAATGATGATTTTTATTCCTGGAACAGCAAATATGTAATTTTATACTTTCTAATGATATATATATACTTAACACATATATGTATGCACTGCACATGTTAATAATGTTTTATTTATCATTGATTAGGATTGGATGATGTTCAAGAAGAGTTATGATTGATGTATCAGTTAATGTTTGTAGATTCAAACAATTAATAATAATCAAATAATCAAATAGTTTTTGATAGATATGTAATGTTAAAAAGAAAAAAAATTTCTTTGAAATTAAAAAGGATGGATCAATGATTTCATATGTTAAGCAAGCAAAAGAAATGGGATTTCCAGCAATAATCATTAATCCTAATGAAGTATTTTGGTATAAAGGAAAAGCAGTAGTATGTATTTTTCTTCAATTTACATATTATATTAGAAAATGATTAATTGTAAATCATAAAAATTAATTGTTGTTTCAGCACACTTTACCAAAGACAAATGTGCCATTTAAAATAATCATGGGTATATAATTATTTACAAGACTTATAATAATAAAAATCATCATTTTTTATTATTATATATTGACATTTACATTTACATATATTTAATAATTAGGAAGTGAGACACCAGAATCTCATACCAACTATGTTTTTGAAAATTTTGTCATGTAAGAAAATTTATGATTCTATCTTTCTGAAAATCTTGTTTTTAATGTATTTATTTACATAAATCTATATATACACATGTGTATATATATATAGACCATCATCTGCAAATAAGATTTTTGTGACATATGAGGTTATTGATAGAGTTTTTGAGCATGTTGCTAAGAAGTTGGAACAGTTGGAAAATGGAGCCACAGAATATAATGATGAAAATGAAGGAGATATAGAGGATGGATATTTGAGTGAGCCAAGTTATTTCCAAATACAATAATTAATGACGTACAAGATATAGTAGCTTATGGTTTTGGTGATGATGATGATGATGAGGGATCTGGTTGGCGAGATTAAAACAAACAAACCAACTATTATCTTTTTATTTCTTTAATATACATTATATATAACAAATAACAAAATTTTAAATCACATGCTTTATGTAAATCATTTAAAAAAAAATCTCTCGAAAAATTTTTTGTACAATAAAAAATTTGAATAGATTGAATATATTTTGAATTTATAAATAATCATATATAGTAGAAATAACATTTTTTATTATCACGACACTATTAAAAAAAATATATGAAAAAAGGGCCAATACATCATATCAAAGTAAATTATAATAATAACAATAATAATAATAATTAATATTAATGTTGTGTATTAATATAATAAATCAAATAGTTAGTGAAGCTTTAAAACCAATTGATTTAGAAATTATCAATGAATCAGATTTACATGCTCATAATCAAGCTATGAAAGATGTTAGTAGTAATGAAACACATTTTGGTAAGTTAGATAGATATATATATATATTAATTGTAATTGTAATAAGAATTGAATGAGACCTTTTATACATATACACATTGTAAATGTTATTTCTGAACAATTTGAAGGAACGGTAATTATTATTCAATTGATTTATCAATTAATTTATTCGTTTTTATTTTTTTATATCTCACATTTTATTATGATTGATAAGTAAGGAACTTATATATGGATATACCAATTACTTGGAGAATTGAAAAGGGGAGTTCATGCTTTATCCATTAAAGCTAAAACACCAAAAGAAATAAATAGATAAGAGAACATTGATAAAGAGAAATTGATGGGTAGAAAAGTAATGGAATAATTTGCTGTGGTTACAGTCACATAATCTACAATTTATTTATTTAAAATATTTAATAAAATCTGAATTTTTGTATTAATATTAAGTCCGGAACTACAGTTTATTGGCATTACGTAAAAAAAACAGCGACAAGAAATTCTTCGACTAAATTTTAATCAAAATGCGCGCGTCTTTTGTTTTCTTTTTATTGTCATGAAAAATTTAACTATAATAATATATATAACACTTATAGCAAATAAATCAATTGTATTCTTTTGTAATTGCAAAAAAAAAATACATTAATTTGGTGAAAGTAATAGATAGTGTCACATTATATTTTTTGTTTATTTATTTTTTGGCGGTAAAAAATAAATAAAAATAAAAACAAAAAAGGTGAGAGCGAGTGAGCGAGTAAAAAGAATTGGTGTTCTGATTAGGTTTTTGTTTAGCTTTTATTAATCAATTAATTACCAATCATAAAGAATTTTATCATATGAAAAGAATTTAACAAAGAAAAAATTGAAAAAATTGAGATGTTTATAATAATAAATTTATCATTTTTGGATTCAATAAAAAAAATTTTTTTTCTAAAAAATCCATTCATCATTAAATTTAAAGTTACATTAAACTTGAATTGAACAAGTTTTTTTGTTTTTTTTGTTTTTCATATAATAATAATGATTCCACACATACACACACATATCACACATTTACTAAATAAACAAATTTTAAAGACGCATTAAAAAAATAAACAATAATATTATGACATGTATGTGTATGTAATGTACATTTTATTTATCCTCCCTACATGATGATGGTCTATTTTTTTCTGTTGTTGAAAGAAGTTGAAAATAAAAAATGTTGATGATCTTTCATTGGTTTGTTGTCTGTCATATGTTAATTTTTTTACAAAATATTTTCTTTCTCTCTCTTTCACTCTTTCACTCACTCACTCTCTCCCCTCACTCTCTCCCTCCCACTCTCTGTTTAACAAACAATTAATTACATGTTAGTTTCAAAATATAACTTTGATTTAAAAAGGATTTATTCAAAAATATTTATAAATATAAACTTGTTTAATCATTAATAATTATTGCTATTGTTAAAAAAAAAATTTTTTTTTGTAAGACTTTAAATGACTTTTATAAATTTGTCGTTGTTGTTGTTGTTCATTATTATGATACTAAATGTTCTCCACATACTAATTATTAAGACTTCTTAATTGTTTACACAATTGATCATAATATGGTTTAATTACTATCTGTTATAATTAGCAGTTATTTTCTTACCACAAATATAATAAATATTATTATTACCATCACCATTACCATTACCTCCAACCACACACCATAATTATCGGGAAAATACCAACAATTAATTAATTAATCATTATCAATCATTACCTATTTATGATCGATTGATATTATATTTGTATGGTGACCCAGATCATACAAGATAGAAGGACCAATTATTAAAATTAAAAAGAGAAAGAGAGAGTTCGTCCACAATGTATCACACACACGCATCTTTTTAATATATTAATATTGGTTAAAGTAGATCATCATCAGAGATTATCTATATTATTAAATTAATTGGTGTGAAAAAAAAGCCGAATATGACCAAAGGTGTAACAAATATAAATAAAAAACGGCCACGATGATGGTTGTGGCGGTGATAGTAGAAAATAATGATGAAAGTTGATGACGTTAATGACGTCGAAACAAAAATTAAATTGTTTTAATTATTATTTTAATTTTAATAAATAAATAAATAAATAAAACGTAAATAAATATTACATTTTCATCCACTCAATATTTGTATATTTCGCCACTTTATTTATTATTTCATGTTTATTTCGTTCGACGGTGTAGTCCAGAACCATTTTACATAATTAATTAAAAAAAAAAATCAATATAAAAAAAATAAAAACAAAAAACAAAAATAGAACTAAACGAACGATTGGATATTTGTTTTTATATTGTTTTTATTTATTATCAATTTTTTTTGTTTTCAGTTCTCTTTTTTTTTTTTTTTTTCAATATAAAAAAACTCGGGATTTACAGTACATACACGCATACATACATATAATATGTACATGATCTTTTTTAATGCACCAAAAAAATTATTATTTGATTTAATCATCATCAATTGTATATAAAAAATATTGATTGATTGTTGATTAATTAATTAATGATATTTGAAAAAATTGATTCCTTTACCAGCAGAAAGAAATAACAATAATTATTAGCAGACGGGAAGTTTTATTATAGTACAAAAAATATTGAAAAGAAGAAGGGTGGTCGTGTGTGAGAGGTGCGTTTATTTTTATTTTATTTAAAAAAAGAATTGAGAAAAGTAAAAAAAAGTCGAATCAATAATAAAAAAATAAAAATGATGATGTAATAATTATATATGGTAATGATCTTTATTTGTGTTTATTTATTAAAACTAAAATTGACCATTAAAAACCGTATTCATAATAAAAAAAATAATTCCTTTAATAATTTATTTTGCCAATAAGATGGAAAAAAATATTGTTATCATGATGCAAAATGAAACTACCACTTAAAAAAAAATGGGAAAATTAAAGTTAAAAATTAAAGTTAAATTAAAATAATTTTAAAATTATAATATCAATCAAACATCATCTATCGTCCTCGACAACAACAACATCATCAACCATCTGAAACATTTTATTTTATTTATTATTATTATCTTTAATTAGTAAAAGGAAACAATAATTATTTTTTCATTAAAAAATGATGTATGTAAATGTCAAAAAAATGGTTTTTTGTAATAATGTATGTGCAAGTAAATGCTAACTAGATGAAATTAATTATTTTTTTTCAATTAATTAATTAATTAATTAATTAATTAATATTTATTTGTTTATTTTTTCCATTACTGCTTTTTTGTTTATAATACTGATGTGATGTAAAGTTTGTGTGTGAGAGAGTAATATATAAATATTAAGTTTGTATGTATGTGTGGATGATTCGTTATGTATAGTTTGTATGTATGTATGGATAATTAGTATGTATGTATGGATAATTAGTGGATTTACTTACTATAATAATAAGTATGGATAAATACATGCGCGTGTGTCCATTGATGTGTATGTTTATCCCGCACGATTGAACAATTTTTAGTAAGTAGTGGTAATATAGCTGGCATTTTGTATATGGCAGGTTGTGTGATTTTAAAATTAAAATTAATTTTTATTAGCCATAGTTGGCTGGCTGATAAATGAAAAATTGACCTAAAATGTATATATATATTTTTGAGATGGTAAATTAATAAATTATTAAAGCTAGTATCTTTTATTAATTGGGGTAAATTTATAGATTTAGCAAAATAGGTTAAAGTTACTACTGATGAGAGTAATTTTTTTTGTGGAGAAGAATAAGCGCACATGTAGGTTGAATAGGTAGGTAGAAATTTAGCAAAGAAACTAACTAAAAAGAAGTAATCAATTGTAATATCATAACAATAAGGAATGAATAAATAAGGAGGGAGAGAGGATCTTTAGTATTGTTTAACTATTTGTATGACAGAAATCATTTATTGAAAAAATAAAGATTTCAAGAAAACAAATTTATCATCACAATAGCAGTAGTAATAGTAATATTTAAAAAATGATTACTTTATTTGGCATACAATAAAAAAAAACAAATTAATATTAATTAATTAATCATTCAATTAGAAAGCTGTCAAGTTTATTTTTATTTGGATTTTACCAAATTACTCAAATTACTAAAAAGAAAAAACTATTAAAAGCGAAAATTTCCGTTATTAGTTATTGTTTTTGGATTATTATTATCTGATTACAATTGGAAGTTTGTGCGTGTGAGAAGAATGAATGAATGATCGGATTAGTCGATCGGATTAGTCGATTCAAAAAATATTTCTATTAGTCGATTTATTATTATTATTATTATTATTATTATTGTTGTTGTTGTTGTTGTTGTTGTTGTTATTTATTATTATTATTATTATTATTATTATTATTATTATTATTATTATTATTATTATTATTATTATTATTTATTTATTTATTTATTTATTTATTTATTTTCAAATCATAGAAATTTTTTCTTACGAAAAGTTTTTTAATAAAACATCCGCTGTTCTCCGTTGTCGATTTTGGGAAAAAAAACATTTAGATTTTTTTTAAAATACAAATATAAATATATAAATACATATATAATATATATAAACAATATAAATAATACGAATAAACAATATGAATAAACTTGAATTTGATCAAGTTTGTTGTTGTCGTTGAATCTCTCTCTCTTCTCTCTCTTTCACTCACACAAAAGCATATGACATGAATAAATTTAGATAAAATCATATTATAATTGGTAATATTCAAGAAAATTGTTATTTAATTGGATAATTAATTTAATTAATTAATTAAAAAAACTTAAATAAACAAATTTTATTTATTATTTGATTGTGTGTGTTTTATTATTTATTATTTATTTGAACTTAAACTTAATTCGTACAAGATTTACAAATGATCTTTTTTCTGTGCTCTATTTTAGGTAATATATAAAAAAATATCGTACGTGTAACTTCGAAAACGCGAGTCGCGAGCCTTTCTTCTCCTTCTCTTATTATAATTACAACCATTCAATTTCTTTGTCATCATCGCTAAAATTACGGAATTCTAGCGAATAAATATTATTATTATAAAATATAAAATATAAAAAATTTAATGTAATAATAATAATAATAATAATAATAATAATAAATAAATAAATCCTCATTAAAACACATCACTGTAGACATGTATGTCTCATGTTATCGCAAGCGAGCTTATTATACTATTATTATCATTATAATAAGAAATGAATTAATGGATGGGTAGATCGTGAATACTTTTACATTACATATTATTAAAAACAATTATGTGTAAAAATCAACTTAGAACTAACAATATTTGTATACAGAGATAGAATATTATATATATC